CTTCTGTTTTATTTCAATCATACATCTACCACATATTGATAGACCTTGCAAACTTTTCTAAAAGAAAAAAATCTGGTATGCTCATGCAATATCAACAGAGACACTTCACAAATTAAGGAAACACTCAAAGAGTCTCCCTTACTACACAAAATGCCCCCTTCCCCCCATATCTTTAGAACATACTGTTTAAACATAACAGGGCAACTTATTATAGCCAACTTGCCCCTGACAGGGGTACACGTTCCTCAGCAAGGACTGCTTATGGATCTCTGTCAAATTGGAATCCGCAACTCAGTCCTAAGAAACCTACAACCGTTCTGCCAAAGGAATGAGCAAGATTCACTCCTTTCTCTTGTCATTTGACAGGAAAGATCTCGCCTGCAGGAGTTTGTTGTGCAAGAATGAACACCTGTATTCTACTCCTCACCGTCTAGGAGTTGACAGCTGCAGTTTGCAGCTCCTGGTTCACCAGGAATGGAGCAGTGGGGAAATACTCCCCATGCCTTCCCAGGACTGGGGTCATCCCAGTCTGGAGAAGGTATATGAGCAGCAACAGCAGCTAGACTCCTCCTGGGCCCAGGAGCATTGATGAGCACGCCAACACCCTCATCTCACCCCACAATGGTCTGGGCCAACCCAGGGAATGGGGGGGGGGGGACACATTCATCTGTTGTGGCAAGGCTTGTGTAGACTTACTGTTGCATCACAACAGCTGGCCTCACACCACCCTGCTCTGGAGGAGTGCAAGGAGTATGCGCTTTTCTCCTGCAGTGGGAAAAAGGATTCACACCAGTGGGGACTGGCCCCTTGTCCTACCAATTGCTGCAGACTCCAAGCAGGGGAGAGGGCCCTTAAGAGTAGACGTGACCCAGGGAGCAGCCCTCTAGTGCCCTCTGGCTGGAGAGCTTGCCTGTGTACCTCCCCAGCCAGGGGCCTGGGACATATGTATGCTCCAGCTCCCAGTCTATTTTTCTACCACTAGAAATGAATGCCTGGGCATGGCCTACGTCAGAGGCATTGGAGTGCCCTGGGCATCAGCAGCACATGGGGAAGTGTTGGTGGTGGTGGCAGTTGCCAGGCCAGCAATGTGCCTCTCTAGGGTCAGTATGTAGGGCTGGTATCCCAATCACCTCCCCTTCATTATGCTAATGCTATATACTTCCAAACCAAGAGCCCTGAGCACCAAGCTTCAGGCTAGTTTGGGGAATGTTACCTCTCCACCCCTCCTGCTGAAGCTGTGCCACTGTGCAGAAAAAAAAATGTGTGTGCAAAAAAGTAAAACCTGACTCTTATGGGTTAGTTACTCCTATGTAGTTAGTTACTCCTATGGGTTAGTCATACCCATGGGTTAGTTACCTGGACATCAGTGCCAGTCCCTGTTTCCCAGATTATTCATGTCATTTTACATGAAGCAGCCCTTGGAGCAAGGACTTAAATCTAGGTATCCTTTCTCCCAGGTGAGTGCCTTGCTTACAGGCCTAGATTCATATTCTTTTCTTCTGACTTGAGAAAACCTGCATTCTTCTCTATGCAGTTGAACAGTGTTAATAGAAAGGGTGGAGATGTACCTCTTTCCAAAACAGCCTGGGGATTTGAGTGATGAAACACAGAGGTGTGGGGATGAATCACCTAAGATAGAGGAGGAAACTAACCCACATCCCAGGCATGTGCTGTAACTATTAGACAAAAGATAGAAATCACCACTGGCTGCATTTAAAAATATGGTGGCCACAACTGCATTTTGTGAAGAGTTGAATCCTATTGGTATATGATAGGTATGCTGTGAGAACAGCTACTAGAATTAACCCCTTAGGGAACTTACACTGAAGAACACTTAGACTTTAGATTCCAGTTGGGCCAAAATAGAAAACTGCACAGGGTGGAATAGTTTTAGGCATTTCCAGTGATCAAGAATGGGTTACCACAGCTGAGAAATGGAAGGAGTGTGAAATAGGCAGTCGGGCTGTAACCATATATTCCCATCAGTGAAGCTCATGAAAGCAATGGAAGTTAGAGTCAAACCTATGAAGCTAGAGGGTCAAATACAGAAGCACTGAGTGAGTTAAGGCTCCCAAAATTTGATAGCAACTGAACCTGGGCTTGATTGAGCACAATTTTAGATTTAGGGGGATCAGTTCCACCTAAGTCCTGCTTTAGGCATAGCTGTTGTATCTAGTCTTTAGGCTTATTAATATCGCAGCCATTTTATCAATAAGTCCTATTTCAGTAAATGTCCATGTGCATGCTATAGCAATTGGTAGCTAGCTATCGTACTCAGGTTTTAATACTACAGATGTCATAAAATGATTGTGCAGGATATTCTTCCTTCACTGATATATAAAGGTGAATAGTAGTAACCCCATTCTGTAGATGGAAGGAACTTTCCAGGGTGTCCATATCTCCCTAGTATCTTAAGAACAGCCATACAGATTTTATTAGAAAACCATCATCTTTCCATTCAGTATACTAAGTAATTCTATCCCTGCTTTAGAATTCCATAAGATGTTTCACGACTTCAATATAAAAACATATACAGTAGATTAGGTAGTGTTTTATAATTTTGACAGTACTCTATTAATCTCGATAAGGCTCTCTTTCAACCCTCTTAGACTGTTTCATAAGCACAAACATAGCCCAGGCTTACTTTACCTGGCTTCTCATAGAAGATTGAAGAGTGACCAAGAACAGGTTACTATAGCTGAGAATAGAAAGGAGGATGAAATAGGCAGTAGGGCTACAACCGTATATTCCTACCAGTGAAGCCCATGAAAGCAATTGAAGTTAGGAGCCAAACCCACTGGGCACTCTGAAGAGCCCAGTGGGTATGTTTCTGAACTTTTAGTCACAAAAATACTTTTGAACACTCCCCTTAAGTACATTTTGAAAATTAAATGTAGTCGCTTTGGAGTATTCTATGCCAACTGCCCGCTTCATGTCAGTTTCTCCTTTTGATTTTTTTTTTTAAGCATAGATACAATAACAAATATCTAACATTTGTATAATGATATACACTTTTCAAAGCACTATATAAGTACTAAATCATTAGAAAAAGGCAATCAAAATGAAAACAAAGTGTCTTTAACCTCTTTGAGGTCGTTCTACTGAAACCAAAAAAAGACCCAAAAACCAAATACCATTGCTCGACAATTATTTAAAAAAAAAACATGTTCCCCAAGATCAGAAGTTGATGGTAAACTGCAGGTTCAAATTAATTAAAACAAGCAAACCAGCAAGCTAAAAATCCTGCAACAGAAGAGATTTTAATAATGGAAATATTAGCAGAGATTTTACTTCTGGAGCACCCTAGGCTCTATTTTAATAAGAAAAGTGTGATTATTTGTCCATTGTGCAGGGCATTTTGTTCTTAAGTGAATTAATACCTCAGTAGGATAATAGAGGTTTTGTTAGATAAGATTTTGTTTTTTTAATTTGTTACTGAGTCCTCCTTTTACATGGGTACATGATCCTGCATGCATCTTGGCTCTGACTAAATATTCTCCTTCTCCTCTCTCCAAACTTATATGAGCCAGTTCCTGGCATTCACACAACTTGGCAAGGCTACCATAATAATCGGGAATAAAGGTAAACACACTGCAATGGACATAACAAGGTGGATCTTCAGCAGCTGTAAATTTTCTTAGCACCATTGATGGAACTATGACAATTTATACCAGCTGAGGATTTGCTCCAACATCTCATTACTGGGGAAATAAACTGTAGTCTGACGATATCTGGTAGGAGACCAAAATGTGATCTGCTTTTTCAGCTTCTGCATACACAACAGTCTTCTATTTACTCAGCCAATACTTGGGAATCAAAAGCACAGATAATGTAATATCATACTAACAGGCTTCACAAATAAACTTGGAAAAATCAAAAAACACATGAAAACTACACACCTCATGCATGTAACTGTATATTTATTTCTTTTTAAAGAACACTCCTTAAATGTATTGTAATTCAATATACAAACTTGGTTTCACAGAATTATAGTCCACTAAATAGCACAAAAAATAACCCAGATTTTGGGGGGTG